ACTAATCATATTATTCTTTAAATAAGACTTGAAAATTAATTAATTTTTCTCATTAAGTGTGTAACGCCCTCAAAATAACAACATTGAACCCATCCGTATAGAGACATGCATTGATATATAAAAATCCACATTCATCTATTTATCAGAGTATTTCATTACAAAAGTATTACATTTTGACAACAAAGCAAATGCCCTACGGGCTTACAGCTTTCCAAGTTAACACTTGGTTACAAAAGAGGGTACTAACTCAATTACACAATAAGCCCTTGGCTTGAATTTACACGTAACACATCCAAAAGGAAATAAGACAACAAAAGTTTGTCCGTCTCTAGCCTCCCAAGCTATGTCCTTGGAGGTGGCATGCTACCTGTACACAGCCAAGTCTATGTTACAATTCACTTTTCATTTCTTATTCAACTTTGATTTTGAAAACAAGGCTCAGTACTCTGGCCAAAACATTTGATGGGATTATAGTTCATCACTAGAACACTTTCGAAATCCAAGGTGGATACACATTTTGGTGTTGTACCAATAACACATAAACTATTTCCATACTTCACAAACGATGATGACATACATTTTAGTGCTATATCAAATCAAACAACTTTTCAATAGATAAGCATATGAGCTATATCACTACTACAACAGATAAGCATATGAGTTATATCAATACTTCAACAGATAAGCATATGAGCTGTATCAATACTTCAATAGATAAGCATATGAGCTGTATCAACATTCCAATAGAGAAGCATATGAGCTGTATCAACACTTCGATAGATAAGCATATGAGCTGTATCCAATACTACAATGGGTGAGCATATGAGCTGCATCCCTGGGTCCATCCCCCATCTTCCCTTAACCATTAACCGGTTTAGAGGTACATCCCCCATCTTCCCCTAAACTGTGGAGTACATCCCACATCTCCTCCCATACACAAGTAATGTATATATACACAGAATCACATATGCAATCAATCAATACATAAAATTAATGTATTCTATCAACCGTCTACACATAATGCATATAAACACATTGGTCACATGCACAATCCACAGATACATAAAGTTAATCTATTCTATCAACCGTCATACTCTATGACACATCCAATTGATTAGTTTTAGTTTGCCTAATCATCATGCATTATCTACAACAATCAATACTACCCTTCACCGGTAGCCCAAAGCAATTATTTCTAAGCAGGAAATAAATGCACTAATAGATAATATATCAACATTCTCAAATCAACTCCTCGTTTTCTTCAATTAATTATATGCATTAATTAATTAAACCAATAAGGGCAAATTGCCATGATTCACAAAACAACCCTAAGGTTCTATTTCCATCAATGTCCCAACATTAATCTCATTTCTCTATGCCTAACATACATATAGGTTTATATATCTAAAATCCCAACTTTTGTAAAATTACACAAAGGCCCAAACTTTCTCAAAGATTACCCAACAACCCCCAACATATCAAAATGCTAAAATTCACAGACAAAGCTCATAAGATGGAGTAGGTTATCCCTACCTCGAATGATGGGACGCAACGAAGGAGATGAAGAAATGGAAATGCTCCAAATCCCGAAATTTTCAGATTAAAAGGTAGCCCTGGACGATTAACACAACTTTTGTAAAGGCCCAAGGTGAGAAAACAACTCCTACTAGATCAAACTTAAGAGAGAAGTTAGGGTTTTAGTGAGAGGAACTCTCAAAATAGCTTTTTTGGAAAAGTAAGAGAGAGAAAGGATGTTGAAAAGTGAACAAAAAGGTCAGATCTCGGCTTTATATACAAGTCTCCTCGCTCGAGCGCCAAACTCCCCGCTCGAGCGTCATTCACAGATCCCCGCTCGAGCGTCCAATTCCCCGCTCAAGCGGCAGATGCACTTTCCCAGAACTTTTACAGACATGGTTCCCGCTCGAGCGTCAAACTCCCCGCTCGAGCGTCAGACACAAACTCCCGCTCGAGCGGCCAATCCTCCGCTCGAGCGTCTACCGCTGCAGACGAAATACTGGATGGGTGATTTCCCCGCTCGAGTGTCAAAAGCGCAGCTCGAGCGGAGAGGCCAAAAACTGGGCGAAGATTCTACGTTTTAAAACACAACCAACTTATTCCCAACTTGCCCAACATGACCCAAAGCTCGAACACAAAGAGTAAGGGATAGAAAGAGGATAAGACAACAGCACCCTTACGAAACCGAATTCGGATTACAGTTAAGCACCAAAAAGGAAAACCGAGATCGCTATAAAGTGATTTAAATTTTTGATATTGTCATAGTTTTTTAGATCCATATCTAAATTCTTATCTTTTTTTATTTTTGTGTGATTTCTATTCAGGTTTTTTTTTTTTTAAAAAAAAAAATTTAAGATGGAGTTATGAGTTTCCAATTTTTTTAAAAAAATTAATTTATCAGTGGTTTATATTTGTTTTTAATTATTATTATTTAGGTAAGTTATGATATGAGTTATATATGTGATAGACATGCGAGTTTTATTGATTTAAAGTATAATGGTAGAAGATATTTTTAAATTAGATTTATTTAAATAAACTTTAAAGGTTTTTTAAACTTAAAATTGGATACTGAGATGCAAAAGAAAAATTTTAACTAAACAAATAAAAATCAAATTTATTAATTTTATCTGTTTATATATCTGATTTTTAGTCCCTTTTTTTCAACAATGATACATCCCTCTAAATCAATGAGCTCTAATGACATGGAAAGTTAAAAAATAAATAAAAAATAAAAAAATCACAAGACACAAACATCACTATTACAGTGTGAGCCATACTCCATTAGAGCTATTAGAGCTCTAAATTTTTTTTTTTTTTTTTTGTTATGTTATAATATATAAGATATAGATAGACATCTATAATTTTTTGAAAAATATTATCCAATTTTTTGGGAATGAGAGAAGGAAGGTAAGTTTTAATATTTTTTTTTGAAATCGGCGAGAGAGATTAGAATGGAGAGATTATGAAATATTTTTGTTATTAAATAAATAAATCAATCAATAGATTTTTAAACTATTTTATAAATTAAAAAATTAATAATTTTAGAAAATCGATTAATTTGTCCTATTAAGTGATTTAAAATTTTGATAGATATACATCAAAAAAATAGATAATTATATTACTAATCATAATTCAAATTTAGATGTTGTTATATCTTTTTGAGTTCCATAGCTAAATTCTTATCTTCTTTATTTTTGTGTATAACCATAGTGTATGAGAGAAATTAAAAAGGGTGGTGTAGCAATTATAAGATAAGTCAAAAAGGTTTGTAAGAAGCAAAAGAAAGATTTCAACTGAACAAATAAAAATCAAATTTATTAATTTTATCTGTTTGTATATCTGATTTAAATTTTTTTTTATGTTATAATATAATATATAAGATGCAGATAAATATCTACAATTTTCAGAAAAAAATATTATCTGATATATAAGATTCAAATAGATATCTACAACTTTCATGAAAAATATTATCTGATTTTTTGGAGAAGAGAGAAGGAATGCAAGTTTTCATATTTTATTTTGGAAATCGGTGAGAGAGATTATGAAATATTTTTGTTATTAAATAAATAAATCAGTCAATAGTTTTTTTAATCTAGTTTATAAATTAAAAAATTTATAATTTTAGAAAATTGATTAATTTGTCTCATTAAGTGATTTAAATTTTCGATAGATATATATATATATATAAAAAAATTAATAATTATATTACTAAATCATAATTTAAATTTAGATGTTGTTATATCTTTTTGAGTTCCATAACTAAATTTTTATCTTATTTATTCTTGTTTGTAACCATAATGTATGGGAGAAATTGAAAAGAGTGCTGCAGTAATTATGAGAGAAGTCAAAAAAGCTTGTGAGTTGAGAGAAGTCAATAAATGGTAAGTTTTTTTTTTTAAATCAAAAAATTAGAAAAATAGGATTAGGATATTTAAAATATGTTTGGTTTTATTTTGAGAGAGTAGTTTTTAAAAATTGTTTTGGGGGAGAGAGTTTAGAAATTTTTTTAGTTTGTTTGGTTGTGGATTTTGAAAGTAGTTTTGGAGTTTGAGAGTTTGGAATGATTTGATATTTGTTATAATTGAGTAGATGTGTGTGTGAGAGAAAAAGTGATTGAGAATGGGAGAGGAGAGAGAAAAAGTGATTGATTGATGTGTAAGAGAGAGAAAGTGATTTTCAAAATTATTTTAGAAAAATTACAACTAAACAAATTTTTTTTCTAAAATCACTCTACAAAACCAAACCAAACATACCCTTATGGTGTGTTTGGTTGGGGCATTTAAGAAGGGATTTGAAAAGGAAAAGGGAAAAGGTGTGTGAAACTATGTGAAATATATACACATTTTACATTTCACCTACCTTTTTCCTTTCCCTTTCCAAATCCCTCCCCAAATCGCCCAACCAAACACCTCCTACAAAACTTATAGATTAGAAACTCATTTTTTTTCTTATACAATATATAGGCCTCGTTTGGGAACATGCTAATTCAGTAATTTTTAGCTATTTGGTTAAAATATGAGCTAAAAAAACTAGTATATTTAGGATGACTTTTTGACTTTTTACAAAAAGATGTGCAAAAAGTAGAGAGAAAAGAGAATCTTTGACTTTTTAGTATGAATTGTTGACTTTTTGATTAATTTAATAACTTTTTGACTTTTTAATTAAAATAGAGAGTTCCCAAATGAGGTCATAGATAGATAGATAAAGTAAAAGTAAGTGACAAATAATTTTGGGTTTATCATAATTTTATTTGCCATAAAAATTTAATTTAGGAAAATGTTTGTACCTCTTTGTGGAAAATGTTTGTACCTCTTTGTGAGTGATTAGAGTGAGAGTGGTATTGTGAGGATAATGTATGTACAGGGTCTCTATTACAATTATTTAATTTATCTGTGTATCCGACGGTTTTGGGATATGATTCTGCCTAGAACGGCCTATCTTGTACGTAAATATATATATATATATTATTTTAAGAATAAAATAAAAAATGCGGCTGCTGTACACCAAAAACCAGAGTCTTCCCTCTCCCTTTCCGCTCTCCTTCTTTGTCTCTCTCTCTCTCTCTCTCCCTGCTCATCGATTTGAGCTTAAGAGATCGAATAAGATGATCCAAGGTCTTGGGGTTTCAAAACCCACCAATTTGGGTCAAATTTCGTCAAACTCAGTTTTTTTCAGCGAATATTGTTTGGTTTATTCGTGAATATTCGTTGGGATTGTTTGGTCCGTGAATTCGACAATCTCGATCGATTCAGGGAAATTTGATGATGGCTTTTGGTGGGTTTTCGATTTTCTGAGGTGGGTCAAAGAAAGTTTTCGTTTTCGTGGTAAGGTTGCATAGGAATGAATTGGTCAGGGATGGTTTGGAGAGTTTGAAAGGTTTTTGGGTTGTATTTTCGTATGATTTCTGTGGGGAGCAGGGATGGGAGGAAGGGGTTAAGGCTAGGGTATGATGGTGGTGCAGAGATGGAAGAGACTGAGCTTGAAGAAGGCGAGACTTGCTCTTACCAATACAATGATGATTCAACCATTGACCCTGATGTTGCTCTCTCTTACATTGTAAGGCTTATTGTTGTTCCTTCACTTCCCAAAGTTTAGATCTTTTATTTATTCTTCTATCTCGAGAGAAATATTGCTTCTCTTGTTGAATTTTGAATTGACCCTGCCTTATATCAAACATGTAAATCTCAGTTTTAAGGGGTTGTATTTTTTTGAACACTAAACCTTGGTTTAATTTATAAATTTGGTACATTTTGGATGATATTTCTGTGTGAACATGGGATTTTTTTTTTTTTAGTAATAAAGCGATTTGCTTTAATTACTTGGGTTTGTTTTGTTGGTTATGAACGGGGATAATGGTTTTATTAATAAATTTGGTACATTTTGGATGATATTTCTGTGTGAACATGGGAATTTTTTGTTTTTTAGTGATAAAGCGATTTGTTTAATTACTTGGGTTTGTTTTGTTGGTTATGAAAGCAGATAATGGTTTTATTATCCGTATTCTACTTGATCCAATATGGATAACGTTAAGTGTATAGTTTTATTTAGGCAGGAAATAATGTGTGAGTTATTCAATTAAAACAGGAAAGTAGGTTTGCTTACCAAGATTGAAGAAAAGAGGACTGGAGATGGAAACAGTAACGGCAAATGAACACGAGCTTGGTAGTTGGAAAAGCAGAGGCACGAAGAGAGAAGATGAATAGAATAGGTGAATGATCCAAAGATGAAAGGGCTATTTTGTGAAAAGGGAGAGAGGGAAAAAAAGCGGGAACTGTTCAAAATTTTCGTAGTACGAGGGCGGCGTGACAGCTGCTCACAGCCTATCAGAGCCTGCCACGTGTCATTGGAAAGTGAAGCGTTACAGTCAGTGATTGAAGAGACGTTTTGACCGAACGTGTAGAACCGGAGTAAAATGGGCTCAGTTGGAGAGGCTGAGTGATTTTTTAGTTCGGTTGGAAAAGCTTATAGACGTTAGCTCGGCTGGTCACTAGGTAATCCCAATCATGCTGTACAGATGGAATTAAGGGGCAATTGAGAGGGTAATTTTTGGTGAAAATTGGGCCGAGCTATGAAATGGACTTTATGGCCCAAAGTACGAAGGACTGGGTAAAATGGGCCGAGAAGTTACTCCGGCCCATGAGAAATAAAGTTACTTCGGTCAAAAAAGATGAAGTTACTTCGGTTTGGGCAACTTGAGTTAGTCCGGTCTCCGAGTTAGTCCGGTCATGACGTATCCTGGATAGATCGGTCAATACCTTGCTACTTGGTAGCTCGGTCCCAACATATCATGATTCATGCAAGGGAGAACCGATATGAGGAATAAAAAGAAGGGCCGAACTAAGGATAGTTCGGCCTACCTCATGGCTCAGCTTAGCTAGTTAACTTCGGTCAAATAGTAGTTCGGCCGTAGTAAAAACCATCCCACTTGGTTTAAGCAGTGGGGGGTGTAAAAGGATAAGCATTATCCTTTAGGAGTATGAATCCTAGGAGGACTCTGCATGGAGAAATAAAAGTCCTACTAGGATTGTGCCACTCGAAACCTATAAAAGCTCACAAGCATCACCTTGGAGGAGGTAAGATAACACAACATACAATTTTTCTTCCTGAATACATTGAGCTTTGTCTATTTGTCAAGTTTTCTGACTTAGGCATCGGAGAGGTTTCCGGCACACACCCGCTGGCTAGCTCACGTTTGTGTTTACAAGTGACAAAGCGACGTTGTACGGAGGAGCGTGGACTTAGTCAACAGGATTATACGAGGAGAATTATTTCCTTCCCGTACAGATAACGTTAAGTGTATAGTTTTATTTAGGCAGGAAATAATGTGTGAGTTATTCAATTAATACGATGAATTTATTCAAATTTCCTTTGATCGGTTGTGTGGTGTGCCTTGATTACTCTCGGAGTCATTTGATGCTAATTCTTTCCCTTTCATTTAGGACAGTTTAACCTGTTTGAACACCAGAGAATTTGATTTCCCCTTTAACTATTTTGAATGCTTGTTGGAAGCTTTATGATAACTGACGGGTGCCTGTTGGTTCACCTATAATGGGGTCATAAAATTAACTTCTTTCCAGTATAAACATTGGTGGCTGTGCTACGTAGTGTCTCTACATATGATCTATATTTATCTATTAGTCTGAGGTTTAGGATGTCTTGAATGCTGTATGATTTAATGCATCTGATAAGTTTTTGTTTTTGAAGGATGAGAAACTTCATGATGTTCTGGGGCATTTTCAAAAAGATTTTGAAGGTGGAGTTTCTGCTGAAAACTTGGGTAAGTGAAACAAACAAAACTACAGAGCTTGTCGAATTAGAAGAGCCACATTTATGTGGAGTTATAATTGAAGTGATGTATTGGGGATTTACGCATTTTAACAGGGGCAAAATTTGGTGGTTACGGTTCATTTCTACCTGCCTATCAGCGCCCTCCGGTTTGGTCTCGTCCAAAGACACCACTAAAAGTTCATAACTGCAACACACCCAGATCGCCAAACAATTTGCATCTGGAGGTAGATATTTATTAAATTTGGGATTTATTTTGTTTTCATAAACTGTTCTTTCATTTTAAAGGAGGAGTACCACCGTCTGGGCTAATATAGGAATTCTACTTTGCATGAGCACTTGAGTTGTGTCCTTATACAGGGTGGCCGTCATAACTCTGTAGTTCCATCATCAAATGCATCTCAGTAGGCGAAACATGGACAAGCTTCTGCAACTGCTGCATCACTACCTTTAGTGAGGGCTTCTGTTAATGATTCAGCAAAAACAGATGTAGGGGTGTCATTCGCTCATTGTACTGAGGAGTCCACTTCAAGATGTGAACTTGGGAAAAGCTATGATCAGCCATCTGATCAGAAGACTCTGAAGGTCTGTATCAAAGTGGGTTCTGATAATTTGTTGACTCAAAAAAATGCTGAATTATACAGTGGTCTTGGTTTGGATAACTCTCCTGCGTCATCATTGGAAGACAGCCCCACTGACAGTGGAGGGTTACCTCATGAACATCAGGATGCCCCAGATGAATCCCCCACTAGTATTATTCAGGTAAGTCTTCTCCCTACATTGTTTTAGTTTTCCATTTTCTTTGTTCCTGAATTGACCCAGAAGTGATCGGATTATATTGGTTTTGCTAATATGTTGGAGCAGATTATGACATCATTTCCAGTGCATGGCAACTTATTGTTATCCCCTCTCCCTGATGATCTGGCTTACTTGACTGAAAAGGAAAAGCTTAAAGGAGAAAGTAAGCCTAGATTTTTACTGAAGGGTGGCCAAGAAAGTTCAAATGGATCTGATTCTGCGAGGGGTGAAGACAAAGTTTTAGGTGGCAAGAAATCAAAGTCGTTTGAGAAAAAGAATCTCAATGATAAGGACATTCAAAATGGCATTGGTGAGAAAGAAACGGATATTGACACTTTGGCTTGTGAAGAACTCGTTGCTAATGCTCTGAAGCTCCCACTTCTATCTAATTCATATTCTAATGTTGACAACTCTGCAAAGGGTACCGCTAAAGCAGTTGATAACTTCAGGGTAGCTAATAAGGTGAAGGAAGGATCCTTCTCTAATTTAGCTGAAGGGAATACCTTGGAGGCAGTATCCACCCAAGAGATTGGTTTGGTTGAGAAGCCTAGTGGAAACATTGCTTCAGCTGATAAGCTTTGGGAAGACAAGAAAGCAGATTTTCATAATGACATTTCAGACAAGAAAGAGCTGATGTTTCTTCCAAAACTGACTCAAATGTTTGTAAGGGGAGAAAAACTCAAAATGCTGAATTCAGTGATCCTTTGGAGCAGAAGGCTAGTAAGAAACCTGCATCTCATGAAGAAGATGATATGCAACTGGCTTCTGGGAAGGAGCATTCATCCTCTGGAGGGAAAAAGAAATCGAAAGGAAGTCGAAGTCATAGTGCTCAAGGGGCAGAGGTTCCAAAAGACAGCTCAAGGATGGACTCTTCTTTGGTGCCCAAAAATAAGAAAAGCATGCATGCCAATAACTATTTGTCTAAAAGTGAAATAGAGGACTCCAAATTACAGAAGGATAATGGAAAGGCGAGAAATAGATACAGAGACTTCTTTGGGGACATAGAACTAGAAGATGGAGATAATCATGGGGATTCGGCTGAAATGCTTTCAATTGATAAGCCGAAGACCTTTGAGTCTGTTGAGAGAAGCACATTTGCATCTAATAGAACATTGAAAGAAAGGTTAAATGGCAAGAAAATGGATAAGCCATCTACATCAGAGGCATATTCAAAAGAAGCTTTGAATGCCGCTCCAATCACTGGAAATGGATCCATTTCTGATGCAGCGCCTGGAACATTGGATCCCCTAGCCAATGACAATTGGGTCTGCTGCGACAAATGTCAGAAATGGCGGCTTCTTCCACTTGGTACAAATCCCGAAAGCCTTCCCGAGAAGTGGCTTTGTAGCATGCTTAACTGGCTGTAAGTTCTAACACATTATCATTATAGTTTTGATAGTTGGTAACATCTTGCAGTCGTTTTCACATAGATAGAAACCCTTTTTTCCTGAAGAAAAAGAAAACTTGGTTCGGTTTCTCCATAAATTTTGTTCTTGGCAACTTAATGTATGTAGAGAAATTATTATTAAACCAATGAGGACAGTGAAGGGAGTGGTGGGTTTGGAGTGTGGGAAAGTGGAAATTAGGAGTGGGGTGGAAGTGGGGCAATGGAGGTTGCGGGAGTGAGAGAGGGGCAGAAGAAGAAAATGACATTTTTTCTAATTTTGAAGATTTATAAGGGTATTTTTTGTCTTAAACATGTTCTACTTTCAACATAGACGCTTGAGATGCACTTCCTGTTAGTTTGGATGGAAAATGTGATAACTGCATTTCAGTCAAGTCAACAAGCCACAGGAGGTCAAGTGGTTATTTATTTTCAAATGATAGTGGGTTTATGTGGACATGGCCTATAGGCTATACCATAGGGGGAATTGGGAATTTTCCCTAAAGATAATAAATAGGTTCCAGTTTCTCTGTCTTGTGACGCTTGATCTCTTTACTGCTTTAATGTACGTAGGCCTAGAATCAAACAGCATAATAACCTTTTATAGTAAACTCGTCAAATTGGGAAAAAGGAGACTAATAATATGGTTACAATTTGGAATACCTTGGGTAATCATATAGGCTAGTGAAAATGCATACTCGTTCTTGATTAAAAATTTTGTACTCTAGTGAAAAAGTTATACGTTGGTTCCAATGCCTCTCTGTTGTGGATCTTGATCACTTCACTGTCTTAATAATTTATCTAGGCCTGGAATGAACCGGTGTAGTATTAGCGAGGAGGAGACAACTAAAGCTCTAATGCCTCTATACCAAGTTCCTGCTCCTGACAAACAAATTAATCAGCATTGTCATCGTGCTGGTGTTCTACCTGGACTATCCATGACTGATGACAGTCGTTTTGATCAAAACCACCGAAGTCTTGGTTTCCATGCAGTGCCTAAAGGTGGAAAGAAGAAAAATAGAATAAAAGAAGTATTGGCTGCAACGAGCCAAGATGGTCCTCCACAACTTTTTAACTCTATGAAGAAGAACCTTCAGGCAGCAGTGAAAAGTAGAAGCTTAAATGGTGTGAACCAGTCTCCTGTAGCGAATGAAATTGAACCTATGTATTTAAACAAGTCTAGTGTTGTTGAGAAACATAGACATAAACAGAAAGAGAAGAATAAACTACTTGAACGACATTCTGATGGAGGTATTGCATTTTAAGTAGGCTTTTTTTGCTTTTGTTGAACTCCTTTTTCTAAAAAAAAAAGGTAATTTCTTCATTGATGTAATGTGCATAGGTGAAACTAGTTCCTCCAAGATCAAAAGCAAATGGGACACCGATCAAGATTGTTTCAGAATTTCTAAGAAAATTAAGTTAGATGGTATGCGTTTTACTGATGAAGATTGGATGCATGACAATGATGGACCTGTGGGGAAGGTGGGTCCTAGCTCAAGTAGTGGTTTTTCAGTAAATGCATCTCAGAATGATCAGCACAAAGACGATTACCATTCTCTTAAGGACAGAAAGTGTGAGGCAGATAACGGCTCAAAAGTTCCTCCTAGAAGTCCAAAAGGCCAATTTCAGGTTACTTCAGATGATGGATCTCCATATATGGAAAAAATTGATGATAAAGGTGTTACAAGGAAGAGGAAAATGGAACATACAAGTGAAAACATTCACAGGAAGGAAATGAAGGCAAGCGTTTCCAAGTCTGAAGGGAAAGAAACCAGCACAAGCAAAGGCTCTGATGGAACCATGAAAAAAGGTAGAAGTACAAAGGAGCAGCAAATGGGACCAAATCTGGGGGGCACTCTGTCTCAACGGAGCTTGGATGCTATGGATTCTTTGAGAAGGGATTTAGGATCGGTACAACCTACTCAGGCAGCCAATTCAAGTTCTTCAAAAGTTTCTGGCTCCCATAAGAACAAAACTAATATGCATGAAGTGAAAGGCTCACCAGTAGAATCAGTTTCTTCGTCTCCTCTGAGGTTTTCAAATTCATATAAATCTACATCGAGAAGAAGCTTTGAGGGCAAAGATGTATTTGGAGATGCTGGTTTGTTTGCTACTGGTACTCCAAGAAGATGTTCAAATAAAGATGACAGAATGAGCAACCGGTCCGGGACAGTCAAGAAGGATGAAATTTTTGTCACCCATTGTGGGTCCATGAAGCCCGCTGTGCTTGATTTTCAAGAGAGGGATATAGGTCATTTAGCTGGTAGGGAAGCTAAAATACAGTTTGTACATTCTCCTGAATTTGCAAATTGCCATTTTGCTAATGGTAGTACTGATACCTTTGGCAATGATACTGAGCACCCTGGCAAACCACATACTTCAGATCAACACTGTGATGAAGAACGAGGGAATGACATGCAGTATCATGCTAATGTGTCTCATCCGAAGAAGTCTGGGAAGGGATCTTCATCATGGTCAAAGGAAAAGAATGGCAGTTCTAAATCAGAACTTGATAAGGGTAAGGTCAAGATTTCTGAATCTATAGATCATACACCTTATGAAGAAAAATCAGGGGCTAGAAAAAACAAAGTTCAGGAGAAACTTGGGGTTAATTCTGATAAGGTTGAAAAGAATTTTATGGGTAAGAAAGAGTCTGCAGGTGAAGTGGCCGGTGAGAATCGCGAAAGTGAGAGTCAATCAAAATTTGGAGGGAATGATGGTTTGGATGTTAGAGCAGATGCTCTTTGTAGCCGGGATCAGAAGCAAAATCTACAACTCGACCATGATGAAAGATCTTCAAAGAAGCATCTTTCTGACAAAACAGATCAGGTTGAAGTATCTGGAAGAGGAAAGTCACACTCATTGCCACCCTCTGGAAGAGGTCAAAATGAGACAGTGACACATTCTCTCCATTTAAATCCTGGACACCAGAAAGAGAATGGAGGAAACAGTTTGTTAATTGATGCTTCTGAGGGTGATGATGCATTGAAGGCTTCAAAACACACAAAAAGGCCTGAGAACCAGAATGGAAATCAGCCGGTTAGATCAAGACAACCAACAATTAATGGCCATAGGGTCAGGGATGCGGATGCCACAATTCCTGCCAGAAGAGATTCCTCCTGTCAGGCTGCCACTAATATTGTAAAGGAGGCAAAGGATCTTAAACACTCTGCTGATCGCCTTAAGGTCGCTAGATTTTTTCCCCCCTTCAACTGTGGAATTGGTTTATTCATCTTCCTAACTCTTGGCACTACTTGGGTATCTTTTGCAGAATTCTGGATTAAGTGTTGAAAGTACAGGTCTTTACTTCCAGGCAGCCCTTAAGTTTCTTCATGGAGCCTCTTTATTGGAATCTAGCAATGGCGAGAGTGCCAAGCAAGGCGAGATGATTCGGTCAATGCAAATGTATAGTAGCACAGCAAAACTCTGTGAGTAAGTAATACTCAAAGCTCTATCAGCAACCTTTTTCTCCTTGGGATGTATGCTTTATTTGTGATTTGTTTAAAGTGGTTTGTAGAATTGTCTCAGTGACTATCTGGCCAAGAAGCATGTGTGCGTACTTGTGTGTTTGGAAATCTAGACACTTGAACTTGTGTTGAGGTTTTGTTTCTCCCTTTCCTATATCTTAAAGTGCGATTCTATATATTTCAACTAAGGTCAAAATGCTCAAAATGTTGTCTCAGTGACTATCTGGCCAAGAAACATATGTGCATACCTGTGTGTTTGGAAATCTAGACACTTGAACTTGTGTTGAGGTTTTGTTTCTCCCTTTCCTATATCTTAAAGTGCGATTCTATATATTTCAACTAAGGTCAAAATGCATATTTCAATGCCACACCACCTTGAACAGGCATTCCCTAAACCTCATTCTGGGTTTCACAACTGTTCTCTATATTTTCTTCTCTTAAGTATTTTATAGTTCCATTGTACCCTCTCTTATAACCATGTGCATATATTGTTCAACCAGTTCGGGGAAAGGAATTTTTCCTATATATTCGACGTGGTAATGGATCATTTCCCACTATTTGTAATGCATCACTCTTTACAGAACTGTAATTGAAACTAAGGGTAGAAAGTAACTTCTACTTGTATTTTTGACGGATTATTTCTTCATTGTGCAATGTGAAAAGCTCATGCAATTTTCCTCTCCTTTGTCTTCTTGCTATTTCATTCTTAAATTGATAGGTTTTGTGCTCATGAATATGAGAAATCCAAGGACATTGCTGCTGCTGCTCTGGCCTACAAATGCATGGAGGTGGCATATATGAGAGTAATTTATTACTCGCATACCAATGCAAGCAGAGATCGGCATGAGTTGCAGACAGCTTTGCAAATAGTTCCTCCTGGTAATTAGAATAAATTTTGATCGGAAAGTCTGTTCAATATGTCAGTATTTGGGCAGAGAAATATGGCATTGAATGAAATTTTTTTTTTAATTCTTTATTCATCTCACATGAAAGTTTCACTACTTTATGTTTGTCCAAATTCATCTCCGAAGAATTGGAACCCATGCCCTGTAGTTCATTTTTTTTTTTTTATCTTTTTCCCCACCTATTATAATTGAACAAGAAACTACCCTAAAATGTGGTAAGTGTAATTCATCATTTAGAATCTGACTTCTGTCCCTGCAATCATTTCTTAAATTTATAAAGCATATAATTTCACTTCAACTTTAAATTTGAAATCTAGAAATGGAATTTTCTACATGAATCTGGTGATGATATGACATTGCACTCTTTACAGGAGGAAAGGCCGATGAATGAGTACTATAATTTCATTTGAAATCATGACTTCCATAAGAGAAACTGAAGTAACTGGAAATATCAGAGCAGGAAATTTATTGCGCTGGACAAAAATCTTTTGTGGTATCTTCTTTCTAGTACAAACATGTAGGTTATCGATCAACTGTAGATTCTCCTATTCACATTTTTCTTTCCTTCTGTTCCCTGCTTAGAATACTGAAGGTAACAATATCCAAATATCAAATATTTCCTCATGTACATTGTAATTTTATCCCAATTGTGGCCTCATTTTTCTTTTTATTTATTTGCTTATTTTTTTTGTGAAAGTTAGCGATTTTTATTTTTGTCATTCTATCATATATTAAAGATGGTGATTTGCTGGTGGTAGATGAGATGCTAGGCTCCCACCAGTTCTTTTAGTTGATGACCTGCTTCCCATTGTTGCTTTTATTAGGTGAATCTCCCTCTTCCTCTGCCTCCGACGTTGATAACTTAAACAACCCAACAACATTAGACAAGGTTCCCATAACCAAGGGTGTTAGCTCTCGTCACATTGCTGCAAACCATGTTATTGCTGCAGGCAACTGCCCCAGTTTGGTGCGGCTGCTCAACTTTGTAAGTATGCGTAGAAATTCAGTTTAATATATATATATATATGCTTTTAGCTTCTTAAAAGGTGAATATCTGTTTAATATATCTATAATATAATATAAGAGACTCTTTCATTTACGTAAACGTGCCATGGCTTGCTTTTTGTTGTTGTTGCCCATTTTGATCCTTTGTTTTCATCAAATGCCAGCCTTTACTTAGGATTGCAATGGAATTTTAATAATATTTTTCATGTGCTTTTTTTAATTAGGCCTGATTTTGTCCGATTGTTGTTTTTCTTTGTGCTCGTTTGGGAAGTTGAGGTTTTGGGCTTTTTGGCTAAAATAGTCACAAAAAAACAAAATAGACTTTTTAGTTCAATAAGACAAAATATCACATCCAACCCATAATCATTACATTTTTTCTCTCACAAAAGTCAAAAAAAGCTAAAAAGCCCATCCCAAATGAGACTTTTTAGCCCCAAGTTAAAATAACCAAAATGCCGAAAAGCCAATCCATTTCCCAAACGAATTAGTTTACTAAAATTATCTTTAGTTTGGTTTATGGAATACTAACAGTTGCCACATGCGATATATGTGCAAATTAAATAAGTAAAAATAAAATAAAATATTTATTATATATTGTGTATTAGTCAAGTGATAAGTGTCTTTTTTAGCAAATTTAAGATTTAAGGTACTCCCATTTATCTAATTTTTTTTTTTTTTAATTTTATTTATCAATATGAGGGATACTTGGTATGAGGAGAATTAACCACGGGCTTGAACACCAAATTCAACCTTTACTTAATAATAGTAGAGAAGATAGATAGAAAATTGACACTTGGTATTTGATAACTTAATTTAATGAATGCATTAAGTGAAAATGAATTAAATCCGTTTGATAATCACAATGGGTATCACTTAAGAGTTTAAATAGCTGTTAAAATATAGACTAAAAGTTAACAAAATTTAAGTTATATGATATTTACTTAGGCCAAGTTTGGCATGCCTTGAAAAAGATAAAAAGTCAAAAAGTCACTATCCTATTTAAGTCACATCATCTTATTTAAGTCACATCACCTCTCTTACACATCACTTCAAACCCAATCAAAACCCAACCCAACCCATATTTCATAAAAAGTCAAAAAGTACACTTATTTAGATCATCTCAAGCAACCCCTTAATTCTGATTGAATTTATAAATGTATTAAGTGAAAATGAATTAAATCCGTTTGATAATCACAATGGGCAGCACTTAAAAGTTTAAATAGCGCTTAAAATATAGACTAAAAGTTAAAAAAAATTTAAGTGATATGATATCTACTTAATTCTGACAGGCCTCGTTTGGGAATAGGCTATTTTAGTAAATTTTTGGTTTTGGCTAAAATATGAGGGAAAAAATCTAGTATTTTTGGGATGATTTTTTGATTTTTTACAAAAAGATGTGCAAAAAATAGAGAGACAAAGAGAATCTTTGACATTTTAGCACAGGTTGTTGGCTTTTTGATTTTTTTTTTGACTTTTTGACTTTATAAATAATTGTGCACAGACATACATGGTTAAAACATCACCGTCGCCGCTGCCGCTGCCACCACTTCTACCACCGCCACCATCACCACCATCACCACTCTTACTGCCGCTGCCACCACACCACAATCACAGTCACCATTGCATTACCATCATCTCTCAACCACTATTACAATTACCCTTCACCTCCACAGCTATTGTCACCATTATCATAACTACCACCATCACTACATCATTGTCGCCATCTTTTTTACATCCGCTACATTATCCATCCACTATCACCTGAACAACTATGTTTTTACCTTCATCACCATTGATATTGTCGTCATTGTTGTTGCAATATAAAAATTAAAAGTTACAATTTAAAAATAATAAATTTTAGGGTAAATTACAAACACATCCCCTGAGGCTTACTTAAATTACAAATTATCCCTTGTGATTTTAAAAATTACATTATGCCCTTTAAAGTTTCTAATTTCATAGCAAATAAGTCATTTTATTAATAAATCATCAAGTTAATTAACAGTTTTTAATAATGTTAAAATTTTATTTCAATTAATAATTCAGATAATTTTATAATTGTATAGGTGAACAGTTAGAAATTTCACTTTTTTAATTAATTCTGTGAAATAAAAAATTTTGACAGGAAGGTATTTGTAATTTTCCAAACCACATGGGACAATTCGTATTTTAAGCAAACCTCAACGGGTGTATTTGTAATTTACCCTAAATTTTTAAATTTGATCCTGTATATATTAAACAATATGTTTTAGTTTGACACTTAATTTTTCAATGAAAAACTTTTTAATTTAAAAAATTTAGCATTTAAATTTTTATTACTTAATTTTCAGTCTTCAGCTTTTAGTTTTCAGTTTTCAATTTTATCAAATTCGATTTTACAATTTAAGAATTACAATTTACCTCACAATGACAAGTTATGTGTCAATTTTTATTTTAACAAAAATTCAACCATGTTAGAGTTTAAAAAAATTTATTTGGCAACTACAAAAAGAAATTTAAAAAAGAAAATGTTACATTCACATAGGCTAAGTTTGGCATCTTCAAAAAAAGTCAAAAAGTCACTATCCTATTTAAGTCACATCACTTCTCTATCACATCACTTCAAACTCAACCCATATTTCATAAAAAGTCAAAAAGTGCACTTCTTTAGAACATTTCAAACAACCCTTAATTACCATATTATCATTAACACAATAGTAATACACCAATGATAAAAAAATAATCACATTTTTATTCCATTATAATCAAACATGATAAAAAAGTGTACACTTATTTCATCTAATTCTCTATTTTATCTATTTAGCACATGATATAACTTGTATTATATAATATCGTTTTATTTATTTCGACGGAAAATATTTTCTGAAAAAAAAAATCCGAAAAACATTTTCCATAGAATTTTTTTTTCAGAAAATGTTTTTCATAGAAAATAGTTTTTTATGTTTGGTTACGTTTTTTAAATTAATGCACTCATGGTTGCATTAGTGGTTAGGGCGGAGGTAGAGATGGTAGTGGTGGTGGTTGTGGTGGTGGCAGCAACAGTGGTGCTGTGGTAGTGGTTGTAATGTAGTGGTACTAATATAATTTTTGTTTGGAAAACGTTTTCTGCCTTTTAAAAGTAGAAAACATTTTCCGCCCAAATAGGCTTGTTTTCCCTTGACCATAGAATGTATTTTCCATTGACTTCTGTTTTCTATTATACCAAACGGCAGAAAATGCGGAAAACATTTTCTGGAAAATGTTTTTCCATCCAAACAAACGGATGGTTATAATTCAAAATTCTTATCATATATTTAATCTTTTATTTCATTTAGTTCTATGAGAGAATAATTTTTTTTGTTTTTTTTTTTGGAGAATAATCTGAAGTAATATTTGGTTCACTGAAAAAAGATTGAATGGAATGGAATCGAATGATCATTCTTATTTTTCTATGAAATAATAATTATTTTATAATGGTAAATGATAATTTCATTTACAATGGATCTCCGTAATTTTTTAGTTTGCCAATTATGACAATGAATATTTTGAAGAAATTATCATTTGGTTCTAATGAACCAATGAAAACATTAGTAAACGGCCCGAAACACATTGTATGGTTTTCAAACAGTAAAATTATTTTTTAGTTTTTGTTTTTCATGATTTTTGTATTTATTGTTTTTTTTTTTTAATAGACACAGCAAAAAAATATTTTTTTTTAAATGTGAAGAAATTTGAAAAAAAAAAAAAAAAAGGCTTACTAAAAATAAAAATAAAAGAAAAGAAAAGAAAAAATAAGCACATTTTCATATTTTTTGTTTTTTAGTGAAATTTTTCATATTTCTCATAAATATTAAAATTTTAAGTAGAAAAAATTACGTCAAAATAAATAAATTTTTAATTAAAATAGAAAAAATTACAAATAAATGAAGACACAGAAATTGTTGTGAAGTTTTCTCAAACGTATTATTATTTGAAGACATTGTTATTCTCCAACTTTTAGAATTATGAACTTTTTATCTTTCTTTATTCTTTCTTTTTTTTTTTGTCTCCTTGCCATTTCTATCAAAAAATTTAAAATCTAAATGTAGAAATTAAAATTAAATCTTCAAAAATATGCCCCTCCCTTCCGCAGTCATTGGGCATATTAATTCCATGTTTTTCATTCAAAAGGAATAGTCTCATAAAATTATGAAGTCATTAATAGGTGTCCATCAATGGCCGTAAGGGGTTCGAGGACAACAATGTGATGTTGAATAACCAAAAAGTCCAAGCAACTCATATTTGTTCCTCTTTGTTTTTAATCTTTCCTCAACCCACTTACAAAATATATTTTTTTGATCGATATCTAGCCGTAATGACAGACTAATTTGAGAGATCAATCCCACTATCAGAGAGTCCACTCTCTTGCTTATGTGTCATCTCTTTATTGATTGACTATAAAGTTAGTGTTTATATGGGTCAATTGTAAATAATTTAGTCTCTTGCTTAAAATGCTATCTTTATAGTTTGCATTTATTGAGAGAAGATTATGCTATAAGTCTTGAATTTGGATATTTTAAAAGTTTGGAATGAGTAGGAATTCCAATGATGTGTTAAAAATACCAAGGAAATGTTACACGGTCTTAGGTAGAACCTTAGTTGCAGGAATCGTCCTAATAGGTGACGAATCTTCGTAAGAAACGCGATTCCGCCTTTCTTAGAAAGAAACGTGTAGGAATCGCGTTTCCGTAGAGAGAGAAACGCGATCCTGGCCAAGATGGGTTCGTTTGGTGAAGAAGAACAAAAACCCTAGGAGAGAGAGACAGAGGAGAGAGAGTGTGAAGGAAGAGAGTGAGAAGACAAACCTTCGATCGTCTTCGTCGTTGAACATCCAGTTGAGAAGAATGAACATCCAGTCTTCGTCGTCGAACTCCAGTCATCGATCGTCTTCTCTCTCTCTCCCTCTCGCTCTGTCTCTCTCTCTTTGCTGAACAGAGCCAGCTTTCTTCTTATCTCTTATATTATATATATATATATATATAAGTATATATAAGATAATATATATAAAATCATATTAATATTAATAATATTAATAAAATCATATTATTTTGTGAGTATATATAACATAATATATACTTACTTATACATATTAATAAATAAATAAAAAATCTATATTAAATAAAATAAAATGAAAATTTATCAAAAACACATTATTTAAAAAAATAAATAAATAAATAAAATAATTAATGTGTATTAAAATAAAAGTATTTATAAAAAACTTCTAATGTGTATTAAAATATATATATATATATATATATATTACCGCTTCCCGAGGCGCTCCCAACCTAAGAAACTTCTATCGGCTCACGTTTCCCCGCTCCAGCCCCCGCTCCCGCTTCCTGCAACTAAGGGTAGAACTCACCCCAAAAGCTAGCTATTAAGGTGAGGGTGCCCTCACGCTTATATGCTTAATATTACTTTAGTACTCAGGCTCTCCCTGGCCTACACGCCGCAGGTGTTGCCGAGTGTTCATGCTAGGCATGAGGGGGGGTGTGAAGCGAAGTCCCACATCGCCTGAGTACTAAAGTAATATTAAGCATATAAGCGTGAGGGCACCATCACCTTAATAGCTAGCTTTTGGGGTGAGTTCTACCCAAGGCTGTGTAACAGGAAAATGGAGTGGACTACTTGAAATTGACAAGTTGAGAGTTAGCAAAACTCCTACAGCAATTCAAAGAGAATATCCAAAGCTTTCACGAAGAATGTGCATTAAGGATGTGGTCGTATTAGGTGGGGATAATGTCACAACTTGAGGATTTTATCAAATATTTGAGTAATGAATTTGATTCTACATTGATGTAAAATTTTTTAGAAATCCCTATAATTAGGTAGATAGTTGTAGAAATTTTCCATCATAAAGTGGTGGAAGGATCTAAATAGCTTTCGTACTACTATATCATTGATATTAATACATATCTGGACTATCAAATAAATCCTTGAACGTCTGTAAATATGAGAGGCAATTATTTGGTTATAATGGAAGAATCTAGATAGTTTCCACACCATTGGATTGTTGACATTTGTATAGAAGATTTGAAGGTCTATAAATATGTGAGTCATCATTTGACCAAACTAGTAAAGCAATTGTAAACTTGTAAATTCTATTAAATTGTTTTTCTTTTGTGTATTACTTACTTCCAACTCCAACTCTACTTTCTTGTGAACTTACTACTTTCAGTTTGAACTATTTCTCTACTTTCAGCTCAAATTCTATACTATATTGAAAGTCATCAGGGGCGAGTACCACGTACACATAAACCATGGCCTCCCTACCTAATATGTACATATATATGTATATTTTTTTTGCTTTTAGCTTCTTAAAAGGTGAATATCTGCAGCTACAGGATGTAAATTTTGCAATGGAATCCTCGAGGAAATCTCAAATTGCTTTTGCAGAAGAGGCTCAGCATAGAGAAGGTATAACTTCAATTAAAAGGGCTCAGCACAGAGAAGATATAATTTTTGTTAAAAGGGCTCTTGATTTCAGCTTCCAAGATGTGGACGAATTATTACGTTTGGTACGGTTGGCAATGGAAGCAATTAGTCGTTAACTTGTAGTTGAGATTATGTCAAACCAAGGAATGGTTTTGTTTCTTTGGTTTTTTTCCTTCCAGTTTCCAATTTTTTTCCTCCAGTTTTCAATCATTAAGGAAGAAAAGGAAAGAGGATGACCTGGATCTTTCTGCTGCATTACGTAATATCTGTTAAGAAACAGGTGTTAGCAGTTCAGTGCCTTTGTACATCTGTATCATACCAATCAAATTTGTAGAATTCACACCGCCTTAGTGAGTTTTCTTATTTATCTTTTTCAAATGGTTAATGAAATTCATAATTACCTATGTTGGACTCTTGGCCGGTTGTACTAAGTTATGTACTCATTTTGTTTCTCTCTTTGATTCGGTGGCAGTGGCTATCTATAGAAATACACAAATTGTGCCAGTGCTTCATATCATCACATTGTTGCTGATCTAACAGGTGAAGTTGCTCTTTAGCTAATTCTTTACTAGTAGCTACTAGTATGAAGTTTTTGCCTATTTGTTTACTGATTTTTTTCTCATTTTTAATTTAAGTGTAGCATCTTACCAAAATAAAGTATATTTCCCTAATGGAATTGTATTAAAATTTCCATATTGATGAACTTTAGGATGAAAACCTGGTCTTTTTTATTTTTGTTTTGTGGTCCTTTCATTTGCAAACAAGAAGTTGGAAGCTCCAAAGGCAAAATTTCTTGTTCTATGTTTGAATCTCGTTGTTTTAATTTCCGATCCAACTTTTGGCCTTATTAGGAATTTCACTCGTTGTTTTGATTTCCCATCCAACCTTAGGCCTCATTAGGAATTTCACCCCCATAACATAAAGGACTCTATTTTTCAATACCCCTTATTTTCTATCGGCTCTCCTCTTTCTCTTCTATGTCTAAAGTTGTAAATGCTCTTAACTCCAAACTGGATGCTTATCGCCAAATTCAAACTCAATGCATTATACCCAAAATAAACAAACCAAATCCATCCAACCCATAACATCCATAGGCTCCGAATGCCTGATTTGACAGAACTTGCAACAATTTTGGAATTAGTTTGGGAAAAGTGGTATATTGGGAATATTTTTATGTATAATGTTGTTTTGGCCTATAGCTCATTCTCTAATACGGCTTTGCTTTACCGTGTTTATATAGGATCTTTTGTTACAGGTAAACAAGTGGAACAACTGTTGTGGTATCACCATCAACTTATGAAGTGCTTCATTTTCACACCCCCAATCTCTTCTGTTGTATTCTTTCTTTTCTTTTGGTAGATTTTGTACAATAGATAAACAGAGACTTGATCACTGTCTCATTATATGTACAAACATGCCATTTGTTTCATTCTACGTAATAAAAGTTTCGTCTCAAACTTACTATATTCGGGTATTAGAACAGTAGTTTATAATTGATGTGAAATTGTTACTTAAATGTGGTTTTGGATTAGTTTTTTTTGTTTTTGTTTTTGTTTTTTGATCTTTTTGCCCCCTTCATTTTTAGTGATTTTTTTTTAAAAATAAAATAAAGTTCACATTTCTACTCAGTGAACTAGGATTTTTTTAATTCTTTTTTGAGTAAATTACAAATATATTCATTAAGATTTGATTAAAATATGAATTGTTCTTGTAATTTTGAAAATTACATTCCATCTCCTGAGGTTTCTAATTTCATTACAAATTATTCTTTTTATTAATAAATTATCAAGTCAATTAACAATTTTTAATAATATTAAAAATATGTTTCAATTAATAATTTAAGTTATTTTATTATTGTATAGGAGAACAATTATGAATTTTATTTTTTAATTAATTTTATTAAATAAAATTTTTAATAAAGAGATATTTGTAATTTTTCAAACTACAGAGAACAATTTGTATTTTAAACAAACCCCAAGATATGTATTTATAATTTACCCCTTTCTTTTCTATTTAGTGAATTTAAAAAAAAAAATTAACAAATTTTGGGGACAAAAAAATAACTAAAGACATTCAAAAAATATATATATATAACTTCCTTAGTTGGATCCCAAACCATGACATGAACCTTCAGCTTTGGTGGAGCTAACATGAGGGATTGGTGCCCATCCTTGAATCAAAAAATCAAGATCCGAACAATAGATTTTGGGTTCTCTTCAACAATTTAACAATCCAAGTGTGGGAAGGAAATAAGTGTGATCAACCTCGTCAAATTCTTGACTTCAAAAAATAGAAAAAACTAATCCCTCTAAAAGTTTTCTTCTATTTTTGAAGCACAGACATCCCATTGCTTCTTGTTTTCATTGAGGGCTTCATTTAACATTCTCACCCAAAACATACAAATATGCCCAAACTTACAAAATTTCTTCCTTTTTGTTTTATTTATCACTTTTTGAAATTTTACTATAACTACTTCAATAACTACTTCAAGTGGAAAATGCAATAGAGTTGGCCTGAGCCAGAGACTCCGTCTTTTTGCAGGTGGCCAGACTATAATCAAAGATGCAACACAACCACCAGGTCTTTTCTATCCTTTTGTTGGGAGCAAATTCGCAACCCCCATATCTTGATGCGGTAATATACCTTCTACTACCCCAAAAACAAAGTTGTCATATATCAACTGCACAAAACTCACTATATAAAGGTTGATGTCAAACAAAAAATAACGGAAAAAAAAGTATACTCATTTTTCAAGTATATAACCAACGGAGGCAACTAACTAATGGGAATCATGGCGGTTTGTGATGCGCATTCACTCTCTGCTCCTACACTTCGCCAGCACTTCAAATTTGTGCCAAGTGTCAGCTCAATCCTAGATCAATGGGTTATGTCAAGCCAAGTACCGGAACAAGTTTGGGTTTTCCTTGTCTCTTTCCAAGTAGTCACGGGTGATCAGATCTTCAATCCGCTTCTTGATTGCCTTGAAGTCGGGCTGCACAAGCACATCAATTAAGCACTTATGAGAAACACTATTGTCAGCATTACATTATCTGACCTCAGGCAAAGTTCACCAAAACAAGCCCTTCCCCAACTTTTACCCACCAAAACAAACAAACAAACAAACAATTTGTTCCACAGAGTCTCCTTATTTCATACTCAATTAATTGCTCAACCAACATTAAGATTCAATATGTACAAGACTTGGCAGCAGTCAAGGTCAAAAATCCTTTTTTTATGTGCAATTGCTTTGCTATCAGCATCTCACTCTTCCCTCTTTATTTACGGATGAGAACCAAAAAGTATCCATATATTAAAACGGATACTTGATACATACTTATCCCAAAAAAAATATTTACTTGATGCCCAAAACTTTTCTGTGTCCCGCCCACAAAAGTTAAGGAACATCAATGTTTTCATTTTGTGTGGAAAAATGTTTTTAAAATTTCAAAAAATCAATTTAGAAGGTTATCATAAAAAGGGGCGTTTTCATAAAAAATTTGGAAACAATGTCAAATATGTTTTACATATAAGTAGCCATTTTATTCTGTTTTAAGAACATAAAGCAGAAAATGAAAATGACACCAAATGCTAACTTTTTGGTTGTATTTCACATATTTGAGGAATGGCATACCTTGAACATACGGCTTAACTGCTCAACACATTCCATCACTAATTGTTGATGACCCAAAACTTTGCGACTCTTCATTATGCGCACAATTGAGGCGTCGATAGCATAACGTCTGTCCTTGTCAACATCTTCAACTACTCTCTTCCGTTCATCCACTGGTGGGAGAGGAATCTGATTGAAATAAATAGAAAGTTTGAATCATCTCAAAAGCTCAGAGAGAGAGAGAGAGAAGCAACGGGAAATAGCAAGGAGAGAAGATGCATATCTAACCCTGATCCTCCTCATTCTGTCAGTAAACTTCAAGTTGAACTCAAAATAGTCATTTGGAGTAACAGTTTTAGTGTTTGGTTCCTTATTAACAATTTTGTACTTTGCACACGACAGAGACTGGAGCAATCTAACTAAATCATCATCAGCCAAATTTAATTGGGTCTTGATTTCTGAATAACTCAATCTATCCGAAGCATTGAATAGCAAAAGAGCTGCAGCCTGAAAACGATGAAAAAATTATGAGCAAGTTCAAATCCCTGATTTGTACAAATCGAAGTACATTACAAATAAGAATTTACCTGATAAGTTCCCACGATCAACTCTATAGTTTTTGGCTCAAACTTGCCGATTATGTTGCAGGTACCCAATGAGTAAATCCAAGTAAGCTTTCTATGTTTTGTTTTTGTTTGATAAAATTCCTTGAAAACCTCAACACATTTCACCTGGAGAGAGAGGAAGGGAGGAAGTTAGATATGATAATCCCTCTCTTGATAATAATAATAATAATAGTAATAGTAATAATAATAATAATAATAATGCTTCTGCCTGTGTAAGAGTACAGTAGTAAATCCTACCATCTCTGCAGGGAGACTGAGATCAGAAGATTTATAAGTTGGCCAGAATCCGGTAGTAAGGACAGTAACAGTCAAATCAATCCCGGGATTTGTATTCGGGCTATTGTCAAGATATTCCTTAAAATGGTTCTGATTTTCCTTTGCTAATGTTAAATCTGTAACCTGAAAGAAGAAAACAATGAAATGTCAATTAAAGCACAAGCTAAAAGCACAAAAAAACGGTAATAAAGTAATTGCGATCAACTCACCATCCCCTCCATCTTTGACGTGAACTGTCCACCACATTGCTGCTTCAGCTTTGTCAGGATAAGTCTTTCATGATCATCATTAGCACTCTTGTCAAAAAGAAGACGACGAGAAAGTTTTTTCCTGGCAACAGGCAAAGACAAAAAAAAAAAAAATAGATAATTACGTACAAATTCCCTGAAAGAAGAAGAAGTAGTGATGGCGGTGGTGGTGGTGGTGGTGGTGGTGGGAACCTAAAAAATCCCTTAAAGTAGTAGTAGTTGTAGTAGTAGTAGCAGCAGCAGCAGCAGTAGTAGGGACCTAAAAAATCCCTTTACAAGAAAGAATTGAAACATATGAAGGAAGCAGACAGCTTACCTGTAGAATTCGGCATAAAGGTCTTTATCACTAACATAAGCAAGCAACTTTACCACCTGCAGGAATAAAATGAACACGTTAAAGATTACCATGACAAGTCAATAGATGCAACAAAAACAGAAATTGATATGAAAGAAACAGGAAGGCCACCTTGTCTAATGTGTCCTCAATGGCTTCATCATTCAATTTTTCATTCCCACCTTTCTTGAGAATATTATCACAGAATGAAGCCAGCAGCTCTGCACTAGAGCAGCCAGAAACTTGTTTGTTGCAGAAAACCTCAAAAGCCTCTTTCAGGGCCTACAAAGAACCAATAAGGTTCACTTTATAAATATAAATGTAGCAAAGGACCCAAACCATGAAACACAACTCTCCAAAACAAACCTTGTGAAATAGAGTGTGGTTTGCAAAACAATCATTCACATATGCCATATACTTATCATGCAGCTCAATAACTTTTCTGACAAAAACCTGAATAAGAGATTGCCACATCAGTTTCTGTGCTTTCCAACTTCAACTACATTAGATACCGAATGTTAAGGCAATGAAAAAATCACCTGCTCCTGTGAGACAACAGCATTCTGTACCTGTGGAGAAATAGCCGTTAACACTTTGAAATGCAATAATATAATTATCCATCAAAATTTTAAAGAAAAATCGCATTATTCATTAACAATTATTAATTCTATAGTCGAATTCTATGACTGACTGTTACTCTTTTACCATTCATTCCTACCAAGAGCAATTATAATCCTAGGCCACGAGAGCCATAGTTAACCAAAATGAATTGACAAATATTGTGCAAGTTAGTGTTAGATTAAGACCCACAAGGTGGGATACACAACTAGTTGTGGATGTGCAATGCCTGAGAGTAACAGGAGGGAGGAGACAGAACAGAAGTCTTGCAGAGAGATGCAAGAATGGGAAATAAAGATCAATGAATGGCAAAAGCAATAGGAATTAACCGCCTATACTGCAACTCTAAAAGTGACTTGGTTCACAATCTTGATTTTATCAGAACGAATGAGGATAATTTGGCAATTTATAATTTGTGTTCAAGCAAGAGACCAGAAGCCCTCCAGCACAAGAGCAGGCTTTTTTTATATTTCCTTTTTCTTATTTTTGAAAATTAACTTCTATCTTTATTTCAAAACTTTAAAAAAAGAAGAAGAAGAAGAAGATATTAGTGAGGCATAAAAATCATTTTCCAACTTGTGCTCCATACGACATCATAAGAACAAGGCCATCATACATCCATAACAGTAGGAGAAAGATGGAACAGGATACCAACCTTTTTACTTGTCGCATCTTCGGCCTGTTGGACCAAGGCCGTACCTTCAGCAGTAACATGCTGCATCAGGACACTCACAAAGTGTCAGTGAGAGGAAATATGATCATGTCTAGAGGCTTCTTTTGCTCAGCAAATAATGTCAGAAAACTGAATAGAAAAAAGAAGAACAATAAATAAATAAACTAACCTGTTTAAAAATATTAGCAACCGGATCCAAGCCTTTCGGAATATTACAGTACAGCCTATACATCCTAGAAAGGTCCTCCACCTAAGATGAGAAAATAAAAAGGAGATGCCATTCACCATATATGTCTAACTGTATAAAAATTTCTCTAAAAAAATAAAATAACGCAACTCCAGACGATACCTTATCATCTCTAAGCAAAGCACGGCATCCAGAATTCTCCTTTTCAAGTAATTGGGTGCTGTATACCACCAACAACTCATTCTGCACTTTCTACAGGAGTAAAAGAGAAAGAAAAGAAAAGAAGAAAAAATTATTCAAACGTTAGCGACAGTATCCAACAACATCAGCAAAATGAACACCAATAGAGAAAGTGAAAGGGATATGGAAAACTAATTGATGGAACCATTATAACCATATATGTTTGCTTTCTATATAAAGTTGATTATGGCATTTATTATAACTGAAGATAAAGTGTAAATGGTTTTTCTTTAGTTTAATATGTCCTTTCTCTAGGTTGGTATGTGAATGGTTATGAATTCACAATGTTTTGATGAAATTTAGGCCCCCATCCTTATAAGCTATAAACTAGACATTATGACTCCAATTGCAATAAATTTTTTCCCCTCATCACAATACGTATAATGAACCCTTGTACCAAACAAGTAACCAAAAATTCTACATTCGAATAAGTTAGGGGAAAAAAAAGACTTATTTGTGCATCCATACAACTATCCAACCATTCAATTCCACATATGGGGCTTGTTTGTGCAAATATAACATATTAAGTCACTATCTAAGCTCATCTTTGTCTTCCAATTGGCTTAGTTTTTTTGTTACAAATATTTCACATTATTTCAAGCACTTGAATAGATTTATTAGTCTACCAGAAATTTACATATGTTCACTACAAGAGGAATCAAGAAAATAAACTCATTGTGGAAATTATAGAGCCATGACTAATACTAGTAATTTAATTGTAGACAAAACATATCCATAAGGCTAACCACAATCAAATGTATAAAGGTCTCGATATTAACAAAACAATATACAGCTCTAATCAAGGCATCATCAAATGATCAATATTAGATGAACAAGATCCACAATTCTAACAATTAATAAAAGATCAAAAATCTACCTCCACCAGCTTCGGCTCACTACTTGAGTGCAAATAATGGGACACTCTATCCCTCTCCTTTTTCAAGCATTCCTCAGCCTATTGTTTCCATAATAAGTGTCAAATTCCATCCAAAATGATCATAAAATCACTTCACAATGAAGTACTATACTGAATTAAAAAAATAATAATTAAAAAAAAGAAGAAGAAGCAACCTTCAACATGTAACCAGGACAAGAATCTTCAACAATCCAGTTTGATGCTTTCCGTGAATAATAGGCAGCAGAATCTTTAAGCATGTCTTCTTCAAAGTCATTTTCATAACATTCATTTTGTCCCATTCCAATTTCAACAAATATACCCAAAATGTTCTTCAATAAAGCTCTGTCAACTTGCTCTCCCTCCCGTTCTTGGTCAATCTGGTCCAGAAGCATTGGTAATTAACCTCAATTGGTTACATGGAAAACAAACATGTCCAGAAGCATTGGTAATTAACCTCAATTGGTTACATAGAAAAAAACATGCTCCATGCTTGAAGCAAGAAACTTACAAGTGTGATAACCGCACCTCGGACTTTACCCTTCAACTCCTGGTAAACCTAAAATTCAAATAAAATAGCCATTTATAACAAGAATGACTTTAACTTGTGAGAAAAAATCAACACTAAGACAGCAATGACTTTAGCAGAACTTAGTCACTTTAGTTTGAGATTTACAAATCAAACTAATATAAGAAAGAAAAGCATAGCAAAACTCAAGACAAACCAGGTCACGGAAGCAAGTGAGTCCAACATCATTGAGGCCAGGAAGCGACCTCCTCGCAATGAAATAACGATCGAGATAATGGAAGAACCGTGAAAGCCACCTGACCATCACTTTATGATTTACCCATATGCTTACAAGCTCCCTCAACATAAATTCATCATGCTTTTCCCTTAGAGATGGCAACACCTAATAAAGAAAACAAAGTGCAGCTCAGTAATTGAATAATGACAAAGACTATCTTCTTTGTTTGCAGTAGTACAATTCCAGAGCAACAGAAAAATGTAATGATGAGTTCTAAATCTAAAAAGAGAAAATAAGCTAGCATGTGAGAAACAGCATAACAAAACACTTAACTACATGACCACTATCACAATGAATAAAAATATGCTAACACTGAGTATGTGTCAAATCCATGGCAACAAACAGTAACAATATGCATATGAAGCAACAATTTCCATAACAGAATATTCATAACTTATAGTATTAATAAACATGTAGTAACAATCCACAAAATTCCTCACCGTTGAATTGATGTATTCTTCAAAAGCCTCTTTGTATTTATCATATAGCTGTTGAGAATAATCGTGAGGAGACTTTTGGGTGCACATGTTGTATATAGTACTGTAATTATAATTAAGGAGAAATCACTCGGTTAAGACAACAACAGATTTTTTTCTTGATTGCTATGCTTTTTCTTTTCCTTTGTATTATTTGGGAGGACAAATTATAAGAACAAGTGCATGATTAAAAAAATTAATAATAATAATAATAATAATCATAATAATGGATACGTGTAGAGCATCATATAGTCATCGGAGCTGAACGACTCCGGCAACCCTTCTAGAATTCTCTTCAGCTTTGTGATCCCCGTCTGCATATAAGCCCACCCTTCCTCCAACTCGATAGCCTTATGCTGATTCATTGTCATATTTACACCAATCCCTCAAACTAAAAATCTGCAAACAAAATAATCAAATCATCATTATCCCATCAAACAATGCATAATATGACAGAACATAGCATAAACTCCACTACTACTATGTCCAGAACAATATATCTTCCTTTCTTTCTTTTTCTCTTTTTCCCTTCTTTTTTCTTCATGAGAAAGGGCACAATGATGCATATCTCAATCTAGTAACCTGAACCATAATTTTGGAACCACAAATACATAGACAATATCAACAACTCTATAAAACGTAACCCCAAATTTGCACTGATCTAAATTGGCAAAAGACAATGCCCATTCCAACATGTATTCAGATTTAAAACCTAAGCAAATGGGTGGCTATATATATACATTACATTCAGAAATTCAACCACACTTGCAAAGTAAAATTTCCCAAGTCTCCAGTTAAAGAACCAAGAATCATAAATTCAAACCCTAAATTGATAAATAAAAATTCTTAATAAGAAAATAAGTACAAAAACAACGTCAGAGCAAGTTCAAGCAGACATAAAACAGATACTCACATGAATTCACAGAAAACTAAACCAAATTCAAGAATAAAAATCAATAAATATTCATATTTGATACTACATAGAATAAACAAGCAAACCTAAATACGTATACAAACAAACGCACATACATGTTCAACACCCAAAAAAAAAAAAAACCACGAAGGGGAATGAAATCGGCGTCTCGAAATCAAGGGTGAGAGTTTGCAGGAACGTAGACCGCGAAGAGACTGGTTAAAACCCTAGAAATAGGTTCCAGGGACGATCGAGAATCGAAGAAAATAGGCTTGGAAATCAAAAGAGCGATTGAAGGATGAAGAATATGAAATACAGAGAGGGAGTCAGTGAGTGAGGATTCAACGGGGTTGCCATGGCGAAGGCCTCCCCTGTATTATCGAGGGAACATGAAATGGTACGGGAGGCGGTGGACAAAGGGAGAGACAGATGAATATTAGTAAGACTTTAAAAAAAAAAAATTATTTTATTTTTTTTTTTCTTTGTGTAATTGCACTTAGGGTGGGCGCGGGTCGGTTGGGGCCACGAAACTTCCAATCCGTCATCCGTCCGCCAGATTGGTGGATTTGAGAAAATCAATCCGGCGGATGTGGATTGAGCGATTCGGCGGTTCGGCGGTTTGGCGGATGGATGCGAATCGATTTGGTGGTTTAAAATTTTATAAATTTTCAACATAATTCAACTTATGCACTTCCTCAAAAAAAGAAGAAAAAAGTATTATAGTCAATGACTTAAAAAAATATCACAATCACTGCATGCCTCATTCACATAAAGTATTACAATATGTGGTTCTTAAAATATAAAAATAATTCAAACCACCAAAACCATGAACAAAACAGTAGTAGAGATTGTATGTCTCTATATTGTTGCATCTATATCTGTTTTTGAAAACAAAAATCAACCAACATATATCATATTTTCTATTTATTATTTTTAGAGATAGATTTAAAAACCCAAAAATATAGATAAATAATACGTTTATTTTTTTAATTCAAAAAAGATATTCAAGTTGAAAACTTTTTTTCAACAGAATATTTAAACTCTTTTTTAATTGAAAACACAAACAAAATATTTAAACAAACTGAAAATACAAAGTCTTATAAATTAGGAGTGCTCGCGGTTTGGCGGTTCGGTTGCAGCCAAAAGAATCTCAAATCCGCCATCCGTCCGCCAGATTGGCGGATTGGAGAAAATCAATCCGCAACCGTCTGCTCGTCATCACGCATCCATCCAAAATGCGGCAGATCGATTTGGTTCGGTCGGTTTTGACGGATCGGTATATCCGTTGCTCACCCCTAATTGCACTTACCTCTACCTGTAGTTAAAAAAAATAAATAAAGTTATATGTATCGATTTGTGTATCAATTAATGATCTGATATTATATAATTTAAGAGATTTTTTATATTTATAATTTGTATGATGAATAGAATTAATAATAATGTTATAACTAATATTGGTATAGTAGTTAGCATATTAATTGATGTATATAACAACATTGTTAAAATAATACAATTACTTATATATTTCTTGTATAGTTATTATTCCGTTTGGCAAGGGCTTTTGGGCTATTTTAGTCACAAAAGACAAAATAGGCTATTTTAGTCACAACAAACAAAATATCAGATCCAACCCATAATCATTATACTCTCTCTCACAAAAAAATTAAAAAAGCCAAAAAGTCAAAAAAAATTCTTCTCAAACCAAGTTTTTTAGTCCATACTAAAATAGTCAAAAAAATCAAAAAGTCAACACAGGCATATGTTGATCTGATCTTTAGTACTTCATAAAAATAAAATGATTAAAATTAATTCAAATAAATAGTTTAAAAAGTATAGTATTTTTTTATTTATACTACTAACAAAATATTAATAAAAATAGTTTATTTGTCTTGTGAATTCAAATTTAAAATAAAATAGTGTAATTATATTAAAATAATCAGACTGATTATGTTTTTGAAATTTTAAAATTTTCAAAGAAGTGGGTGTAATTTATTTATGGGTAAATTAAAAATACACCAATTGAGATTTGTTTAACGTATAGATTATTCCTTGTGATTTAAAAAATTACAAATACCTCATTATTAATATTTTTTATTTAACAGAATTAACTAAAAAATAAAATTCATAATTACTTTCCTATACAATAATAAAATTATCTAAATTATTAATTAAAACATATTTCTAGTATCATTAAAAACTGTTAATTGACTTGATGATTTATTAATAAAATGGACGATTTGTTATAAAATTAAAAACCTCGGGGTGGAATGTAATTTTCAAAATTACAGGGAGCGATTCATATTTTAATCAAACCTTAAGGGGTGTATTTGTGATTTACCCTTTATTTATATTTTATATATAAACTAAAGGGAAAATTATAGAATATTCCCTGAGTACTACATGACTATACTCTCTCATCAATTATCATTTATTATGTCTTCTCATATTTCTCAATCACCTAACATAAACATTTAATACCTCATATTTTTTATCAATCATACTATTATAGAATACCACGTAACCATGCTCTCGGAATAATTTGACTTTGGTTTTATGATTGAGGAGTCTTAACTCTTAAGGAGAAGAAAAAAAGATGTTTAATTTTTTTTTTTATTATTTTTTATTCCAACATTATTATAAATTATTGGGAGAGCCATATGTAAGTTGGAAATGATAGAACAATGAGTGACTACACCATAATTTGGTGTGACTCACTTCATTCGATCATTCATCTATTGAATTGTAAAGAAACCTTCCCGCAAGAATGTTGAAACCATCTATTAGTTAATGGTTTGAATTCAAATATCTATAGACACATCTTTTGGTGAACCGATGACTCTTGCTGTATGAAACAAATTCAAGAAGTATGACTATTCCCAAAAGTCACTGAATGTGTACATAAATGCATAACAGCAAGGTTGGAAATCATTGAAAAGAAAAACAAATTTTTTTCTACTTTCTAACTTTTGGATAATCGACCCCACGGGTATTCCAATCAATTGCCATTGTGAGTTAATCTTTCAGTGGTATCAGAGCCTGGTTTACACATAATAGCAAATGTCGAAATACAGTCCGAAAGAACAAAAATTTTCTAAACTCTTTTTACCAAAAATTCTGAGTGTTATTGATCGACAAGCTTTGGCATTAGTAAACTCCATTTGCTTATTTAATCATTATCAATGTATTGTATTCCCTGAGAAGTATCCAAAGAAAATAATCATTGGAGGTGATATTGTACCGAACCTTGCCGAAAATGTGGCCGAATTGTACTAGTGGACAAAATTTTATAAAATAATTTTCGTTTCAATTAGCGTCACCACTTTAGTACCATCTTGTTCGTCTCAGAATTTTGATCATAACGGTGAAATTTGTTTTGAAAAAGGGCAAAAGATTGACCCACAAAATTTGAATTTCAGTGTGTTAGGGAAAATATGATTTCCCACAAGTAAATCAATCAATGGGAATAAAAGCTAATGTGGAAAAATTAAATCAAAAGCAACACGAGAATTTTACGTGGTTCCCTCAATGTAAGGTACGTCCACGTCCACGAGATCGAAAATCCGATTCCACTATCAACCAAATAAGTTTACAAACGAGATACGAATGGTCTCGCAAAACCACCCTTAGGTGAATTCCAAATAATCACAAATAAACAAGAGAAAAGACCTCGTCAAATAGATGAACAAAAGTCTTCAAAATCAGAGTTGTAGAAGACCCAAAATAATATACCCAAATCAACACTGAACACCGAACTAGCCGCTTCAAAGCAGAGTAGCAAACCAAGGCACCAATTCTTGAATTGACCAAGTCAAATCCAAAGCAACAATCAATACCAATTGAAACCCACCAAGGCATTGTTGCCGAAAAATGTGTTACTGCCGCTCACTTCTTTTTTCTTAGGGGAAAAAAATCAATACCAAATATATATATTTAGTTGAGTATTGGGTTTTGTAATCAAACCCTAATTGTATCCAAATTGAATTGGATTTCCAGTTTAGTCGTCGACTCCCGTCACCGGAGAAGACGACCTGTGCAAAAATGTCATTGAAGCCTCTGTTTTGAAAAGTCCATTCATTCGGCCAAATTCAAAAATAAAAAGAAAAGCCCCAAAAATTAGAGTTACAGCAAGGAAGTCAGTTACTTTGGGCCTAAAGATTAAAAAGAATTTAATTGGGCCAAAATCCACAGGCGCAGCCCATAGACATAGGTGTAACCCAACAGCACAGCAACCTAGAGACGTGGTCCGCCTAACACGATGACCCGCGTGCCAGCTCGGACTTGCACCCGTCTGCCCAGCACGAACCGTCTACTCAACGCGACCCGCGCCCATCTGACCCGCATGTTACGCCGATTCGCTCCCAACTGGTTCAGCCAAGGTCCTGAACCGGGGGTTTTTGGGCCCATTTTCGCTCATTTCAAAGCCGTTTTCAGTCATTCAAAAGCCAAAATCTCCAGAATTCTTCTAAGAATTTTTTAGTGGGTCATTGTACTAAATTTTCGAAAAAAATAATTAGATAAAGAGGCTATCCAAGGGTGTTTCACAGTAAAACATCCAAAGAAAAATATTCAATAAGCATCGTCCCTTGGGCTCGTAACTATTTTTACAAGACTCATAAACAGAATAGGCCACTGAGTTTTCATTATTCTTTTTACCCAAGACAAGATGACCAATTTTTTGCTTATCACAGGGGTTGACTCAACAACTACAAGGCTTATCCTTATTAAGACTTGTTATTGTATTTATTTTTGTTTATTTGTTTATTTTATTTGTAATATCCACATTTGTATTTTTATTGTAACACATTTGTATTGAGAATGGCTATTAAAAGTGTTATTGATTCTTCAAGAATTGAGATGCTTAATGGAAATAATTTTCGAGCATGGAAACGCCACATTTCTTATCTTTTTACACATGAAAAAACATTGCACACTTTATCCACTTATAAACTACATAACGATTCCAATTGGTTTCAAAATAAATGGATAGAAGATGATGCAATGGCAAAGGCAACAATGTTACATAATATGAAAAACAACATTATTCCGCTATTCGAAGA